CGAAAAGACATGACATGCATAATGCAGAAAAATTGTCAGAAAGCTGATATGCATTTGACAGCCAACTCGCAACTGGCTTCAAGATAACAAGACCATCCCATCTTATATTAGCCATTTAAAAAAAATAAAAATAAAAAGGGAAACAGCTACAATGAAAAAGGGGATGTGGCATCGAAAATTTACTTCCAAAAGTACTTAAACATAATCAAGTTTGAAATTAGAAGTCTGTGTAGCTACTGAAGGTGATGTTTCCCCAACTCCCAGGGTACACGAATCTAATATGGTACAGAAAACAATGATATACTAGGAACAGCTTTGATCAACAATGGTAAAGCAATTGCCGATAAGAAAGATTGTTGCATAAACTTATGCAACATTAGTTTCCTTATTGTTGCCCACCAGACGGAGAGGTCTGCTGTTGTGCCTCATGCCAGGACCAGGAAGGGTAAAAGCAGCAGCCAGAGGTCACAATGCAGATGCTTGGTTTTATTAGTTTACTGCTAATAACTGAAGATTCTCTATTTGCTATTCTACCGGTTATCCCGATGAGTTTGTTAGTTATCAGTTACATTGCAGCATAGTCAGCATTTCTTTAAGCATGAATAGTGATATTAGTTACACAGTGAGGAATGTATGGGCAATCAAGAATATTTTAATGCAATTATTGAAAGAATAGTCTATCGACTACCTTAATTTCTCTCTCAATTCTCTCTTCTTCTTCTTCTTCTTCTTCTTTTCTTCCATTCTGGACTCTATCTATCCTCGCATTTGCCTCTCACCTCTTCTCACTTAATGTCCAAGGTCCCTAACAACTCGTTACAGACCCATCCGATTCAGAAGAAAATCTTGCTTCCATGGTTGTGATGACTAAAAAGCAAATGGAAGCGTCCATTAATGATCATCAACAGATACAGCAGCTTGAAGGTTCTACAGAAGGCATGGACCAATTATGTAAAGAGTTTATGACAGAAATATAAGAAGTCATGAGCACTACAATGACCAAGCTGCGGACTGAATTTAACGAATAGCATCAGTCCAGTATCATACAGCGTTCCAAAGCTCTGGCGGAGAGATAGCAGAGCATAATGTGGCCATGGGCCAATGCTGAATGTAATTTCTTCACCTATTGTTATTCCTTCCTGAAAGGGCATATTGCCTGCACCTAGATCCAGAGATAAGGAGGAGGTAGTAACACTCCGGGTCAGGAAGGAATCTCATGGGTGCTAATGCCCCTAATACTAAAATATGCCCCTTTGGTGGAGGATGGGTGCGTCAGTCGAAAATATTTCCCAGTGTATTCCACTCATAATGATTAAACGGTGGAGTTAACAACACTGTTCTAAGAAGATAAGGCCAATACTTGATTTCAAGGGTTGCAAACCTAGAGGGAACTGATATCATGGGAGCATCTTTTAGATGAATGTAGACAATTTGCTGATCCCTTGGTAATTTGAGATTTTTCTATCCCAAATCATCTTGGATAGGTTATGTCCTCAGTGATAAAATTTGAGATTTTAAATCTATCATGACCTAAATGAATCCCAACCTTTTCATACAATATTTCACCTTAACCTTCATAAGCGGCTTGAACCAAGTCTTTTGAATAAGTTGTCTTCCAAGAACAAGAAATTGAGATCATGCTGCAATGCTATATGCCACATCAGAAGTTTTCTGCTCAAACACCTAAACCAACAGCCAATCTTAACCCTACTACTACCAACAAACCCGCATATTCTTACCACAACTCCAAGTATAAACCATCCCACGACTACTAAAGCCGCATTGCCATTGAATTAAAACAAAAATTATGAAAACACCCAGCCTCAACCCATAAAACCTAAACATTCCTGAAATCATTGTTTCCATTGTGGGGACAGATACTTCCTAGAACTTGCAAAAATAACAATGATGATAATGGAGGAGGTACAAGAGGAAGGGAGATGGTTGACGGCAAGGAGGAGGAATTAGTGGATGAAGATGTAAGGACTATATCCTTACATGTAAATCACCAATTTACATTTTTTCATATAATTCCAGAAAAGGAAAGTAGGAACCAGAGGTATGATCTCAGGGTTGAACACGATTGAGTTAACTTAAAAAGTTTTAACTTACAGGTATTGAGTCCATAATCATATCCCTACAGACCAACCATCTACTCGACTTAGTCCCATAACCTAATGCAAACTACAAAACAAATTTCAGCATAAATTTGGGGAATTACTCGTGATTTACATATACCTTTATAGCAGCTTTCAACAGATGGAATTGTACTAAGAAGTTTATTAATTCAAGATTGAAACAAAAGATTACTTAACTTCTCAGCAATTAACAGAAAAATGTAAAAAAACTTCAATAAATACCAACCTGCATTACGGGGCTCCGGTCTTTCCCCTTGGGTAAAGCTTCAAGCTTTTTATGATCTAACTACACATGGAAGAAGGAAGTTTGCTTAGGTTTTTCTTTAATACAGTAAAAACAAGCAAAGATGGCATAAAATACAATATATATACACACATATATATCATCAAACAGAACCTGGAACCTGAAATAAACAAGTAATACAATACAAACCAAGAGAATGGGAGCTTGGGGGAAGTAGCGATAAATATGATCGCCGATATTCTTCGCCACGTTGCCGAGTTCAACATCATCAAATCTCTCATTAGCATGAAAGTAACCCACAATCCCTAGACCCTGAGAAGCATAATGCTCCTCCACCTAATCGAATCAAGCAACCGAACACCATAAAAACATTGAATTAACATATGTAAATGCACATATACAGTGAGAGAGAGAGAGAGAGAGAGAGAGAGAGAGAGACTGGACCATGATGAGAGAGATCTCGAGAGGAGGGAGGAGAGCGAGGTTGGAGTGGAAGAGAGGGACAGAATCGACGATCTCGAGGACGGCGTCGTTTTGAGGGTTGAGACGGCCGAGAAGGACGCCATTAACGGCCTTGGTCTTATGATTGAGTGCGTGGAGGACTAGTTTTATATAAGCGTTTTGGGAAATCTCATATCTTATATCGCCGTTTCCTGCACCCATGATTGGAGTTCGTGCGAGTTGACTCACTGAGTTGGTTTTCCAGGTTAACCAGACCAGTCAGTAGAGCGGAGAAGAAAGAGAGAGGGCGATAAATCTGAGGTTGCTTTTGTTCTCTCTGCGGATCGTTTATAGAGAACTAGTTTGCCAGTTTGGTTCGTTGCCGTGTTACGGTTGACCGACGAAACGTCGTAGTTTTGAACTCTATTATTTTTCTTTCATCTTTTATGCTGTTTTTTTTTATTTTTTTTTTTCTCAATCAATTTTAAGATACTTAAAAAAATCATAAATATTATTTATTTTCCTTTTAAGTTGGAATAATATTAATTAAATTTACTGAAAAAAACAAATAATAGAGTAATGATTATCTAAATTAAGACTTACATAATAATGGTAATTAAAATACAAAATGTCAATTTCCAAACTAATTTTAGCAATTAGGGATGATCATGGGAGGACATGTTGCCTCTATTAATAAAAATATAATTTTATATTTATTAATATTTAAAGTAAATAAAAAAAATTTATTTAATTTTTTAAAATAAAAATAAATAAATATATTAAAAATAAATATCAAATGAATGTCACTCGTGTATAAAAAATTTACAGATTAGTAAGAATATCTACAATAGAAGTAAAATCAACAATACTATTAAAGTTATACCTAATAACAATAAACCCAAAAAGATTCAACCATTTATTATTGATAGCGAAAAAATTTGATTTCTTATGCTCGAAAGCTCTGATATTCCTTTCTTTTCAAATAATTCAAAAGATAATTAAAATAATAATTTTATGATTAACTTTTCAAACAACAAATTCATTATTAACAGAACCGATAATAACTTAAAATAAATTCATTATGTTTAAAACTAGTGACTAGAGAAATTGAGAAAAGGGGCAACGAAAGAGCAAGTGTGAGCATGTTTCCACTTCAATTATTAATTATACATGTATATAATGAGATGAGGTAAAACTGAATTAGAATGAACAAATTATTAAATCTAGACTCTTTGTACACCCATTTTGAATTTATAAATTCTTATCTACACCTTCTTGTAATTTGTAAATGATATATTTTTATGTACCCTATCCAAATTGAGTTTAGGAGAAATTAATAGGTCGTTTATCATCTCTATTAGAACTTTTACTTATAATAAAAAAGGTAAGAAATTGCAAATTTTGAAAAATAATAAAAATAATTTGTATGACAAAGGAGCATAATTTACTTTTTAATAATAGTAATTTACACTTTTATAATTTATATAATAGAAGGCAAATAGTAATTTATGCTTCTTTTATTAGTTACGATAAGTAAAATAAAGAGATAAAGAACAAGAAAAATATAATTGCTTGGCTTGAGTAGGCCGAATTTGACGGCATAATTACCGTCTACGAACATAATTGCAAATGTATGAAATAGAGAATCTTAATTTAGTGACAATAGTTCGTAGTTGTGGAGAGCAAAGTTATTAGTCTAAAAAACCTATTAACACTTGGAGTGAAGTTTCATTATCAAATGTAAGTTGTCAATTGAACCATTGGACTCATTGGGTAGAAATAATGATTCTTCCTTTTCTTGGAAATGAAGTCGAATTCACAAAACATACCAATGTCTTCGCACTAAGTCGAATTCACAAAACACACCAATGTCTTCGCACGCTCGAAACCTTCCAATTTAAATCATTTTGCATTACATTTCCTCTCCTACAGTCAAATTTGTGATCACTATCCTTGCTCAATTAATAGTTCTGTTTCGATGAGTTTATAATTAAAGTTCAATCATCGCTAAAATTACTTCTCCATGATGAAACACAGAAACTCCTACAAAGAATTGGAACCCAAATTAGCTCAACCACAAGCTCAAGAACAGGCCAATAGTACTTGAAAAGCTGAAGGGTTAACCTCACTCTACTTGAATTTTTTGAAAATCCATTATAACATTATAATCTTCAAAAATTTCCAAAATAAATTTTTCTCACATACGAATATTAAAAAAATTAAATTATAATTCAAGGGTCGAAAGTGAAGCAACGATTCCACACAACACCTAGACTTTTTCTTCCTTTCATTCCAACCAAATATCATGTTATTTGAGTTAACCATGCTGAAAATTTTGACAGTACAAACGACTTAAGAACACAAGGAGAAACTCCACAGCGCCCGAAAACGACATTCTTGTTTAACCTTTATTATTATTAGTAAAATTTACAACACAGATGACTACAAAAAGAACCAACCATTTGAAAGGGCCCAATTGCTCCCAAATGCTTCATGCAAACTTCTGTCACAGCAGAAGCCATCCAACAGAAAAAACACATAAAACAATATGCCCTGAAGAATGGTTGACAATAAGATCCAATCACCACTGACATAATGTTACAGTTTGAGGAACAAGTACAACCACGACTCTTCTGCTTAATCAGGTATTCAAAGGCCAAGAGTAAGCTTATCGGGGTGGTTAGAGGGCAATACCGCTCTAAGCTAACCCCTAGCACAACACTTCAAAACTATTTGATAATCAAACCTTAGAAAAGCAAACTTATGATCTATCCCTATGCAAATGGGATGTAAGTGTTTTGCCAAGGTGAAAAAATTCTTACCAAAACTAGGATAAGCATCCAAGCTTTCCCTCCACAAACTAGATTACTTCCTACTTCTAATTTTTAAATCTAAAGTATTTGCCTATGTAACAAGCACTCATAAAGTAACACTAAATCATAAATCATTTGCCTCTACATCAAACTAAACCAATAGACCCACATGCCGAAAATGTACATATGACAAACTAAATATAAATTAAAAGCATTAAAATGTCTATCTAGATCAAACTAGAGAAGATAGCAACAAACTTCAGCCAAGGTACTATAGTCTACATAACAAGCTAAATTGAAAAACAAACTAGGAGATAGCCAATCACTAATTTGAAGAATTCTAGTGTCCACCAAATACAATATAACAGCCCTTCCAATCTTGAAAAGCTTCCCCACGTGCTAATAATAGAAGACTTCTAGTTCTCGTGAGGAAGTGCCTAACGGTGCATGATACAATCTAGAGGAACCTGTCTGGAACTTCTATGGAAATGTTATGGAACTGCATCAAAATGCTTCCACACTATCTTGCATATGGATGATACCGACTATTGCCACTATAGCCCCTTCCATACAGCCCACCTGCTCCGCCATAACTAGCACCTGGACCAGAATCATAACCACCACCATAGCCTGAACTTCCATAACCTCCATAACCTTCCCCTCCTCGACCATATCCACCTAAGCCACTGCCACCATAACCCCCACCAAACCCACTGCTATATGGTCCAAATCGACCGGAATAACCAATAGAAGATTCACCTCGGTAGCTTCCTAGGCTACTGCCTCCAAATCCCCCATAACCACTACTGAATTCGCTTCCACCACTGCCATACCCATAACCACTGCCAAGCCTATTGCCAAGACCTCCTGGTGTCCTATAAGGCCCTGGACCAAACCCTCCATCAAAGCCCCCATAGGGTCCGCCAAATCCACCATAGCCATCATTGTAAGAACGAGCCCTAGAGTTGCTACCATATGCAGAAGCAGGTGGTGGGTTGGAGGATTTCTTTGGTTCGGCTTTCTTGATCTCCACCTACAACAAAGCAACTTAGTTAACCTAGGTTATGCTCCATGAAAACTATAATGATAGTCCTCTCCTGAGAAGCTCTACCTGTAACAGCCTCCACCTAATATTAGATACAAAAGGCACTAAAGAAGTTCATCTGATTAGTAAGCAACTATATGGGCAGTCAATTACATGCATACTACTAAACTTAAAGAAATGCAATATCCCATCTTCAAACCCAAACATAAATCTAAATCTGTTGGCACTATTACTTCTTGGACGCCATTTTAATAAGCTCACCTGGGTACCCGACATATCAATCATATTTCCCTTTGATAACATTTCATCCACAACTTCTTCACTGTCAAAAATTATAAAACCAAAACCTCGCGAACGGTTTGTTTCATGGTCACGTATTATCTGGTGTTCCACAACTTCCCCATATTTGGAGAAGAAATTCCTGAATTCCTCTGAACAATAGGAAACATAAATTAATAAGAATATATTCTGAACTATTTACAGGAGTTAATGTTCTCTTGAAAAAAGGCATAGTATTGTTTAACAACAGACCTTCAGTAACTGATGAAGGTATACCGCCAACAAATATCTTCTTCGTCTTGAAATCCTTGGACTGACTAGCACCTTTTGGAATAGTTCTTTTAATCTCAACCTGCTCCAAGATTCCAGGTTCCAGTGATACATAATAGTTAAGTATAAAAAAACAAAAATATTTAATCAAATTCATAGATCAGAACCAATCTCTTATGAAAAAAAAAGATCAAAACCATCAAGTATAAAACAAAACAACTGCATGTCTAACAATAATGCTTCCTATCCCTAATGAATAAACTTATAAGCTCTCTCAACTTCTAAGTACATGACAAGGCATGTGCGGAGACCAAGATAGAGGAACAAGCTAAGTTCCTGAAAAGTTCCAATTTGATCTACCATCTCAATTATGCTGAAAAAGTTTAGGCTCTTTACAATTAGCAACAAATACATGATGTCACAGTTTAACACATTCCTGTTCCCAGCGTTGACAGATTATTCGTTAAATATGTAGATAGTCAAACTCAAGATCGCAGAAATAATTACCTCTTTCCCATTGATGACATGGGTATCCTCTAAAACCTTATCTACGACGGATGGATCTGCGTATGTAATAAATCCAAAACCTCTGGGCTGTCCAGTGTATCGATCTTTCATAATCACGGAATCCGTTATCTCCCCATACTTACCGAAGTGCTTATTAAATGTAACTGCACACAATAAATTTAAATAAACAAAAAGCTCAAGTTAACATTAACATGTATATTAGCTACCAGCATAAGCCATAGAATGTAAGTACTCTCAATCGATCCTCCGCGGAAATGTACAGACTAAAAATCTGTTCATAACTGAACTTTGATATTCCTATGACAATCCTTCAACGTATAAGACGAAAAGTACATAAAAAGGTACCACAAAATTGGATTAAAAAAAAAGTAAATAAGAACTTACCATATGAGGTATCCTTTGCCAACCCTCCAATAAAAATCTTACTGCAAAAAAAATAAACAGAAGATAGCAAAACCATTTTAGCAAAACATATTAGAACACACAAACATACACCTTGCCAAACGAGGGGAGGGAGGGAGGGAGGGAGGGAGGAAGATGTAACAACAAAAACGACAAACAACACGAGTTGAGCTATAAAACCTAAAGATCCAACTTTTCCCGCCCCCTTAAATTTCCATCAAAAGTCAAACGAGATATACAAAGAAACGAACCCGGGGCTAGCGCCATCTCCAGAATGAGGGTTTTCATTCTTCGATTTGGAGCCCATACCGCCTGTTCGCTTCTTTTACTGGAGCTTCTGCTTCGCTCGAGATTTTCCTGAGAAAGCTAATGAAAGTATAGAGGAACAGAAACTATGGTTTGAGAGGAATTTGAGAGAATACGAGAGAGGAAGGGTGAAAGGAAGAGCTAGGGTTTCGAAAGGAAGGCGACTGGCGAATATAATGGATGAGGTTGTTTAGGAAATTACCAGTTTGCCACCAATTAGGAAATAAATGGATATCCGTGACCAGCCGACTTTATGTCGGGCTTTGGGCTTGGGCCATCACGTCTCGGCCCATAAACTAAATATATTTTTTTATATTATGTTGTATTAAATATTTTTATTTTTTATTTCCATTAATTTGATTAATTTTATTATTATTTATATTAAATTTTTATTTTTCTTTTCTAACCAAACCATAAATTAATTGGACTTTCAAGATAGCAAATATGGACATGCCAAATTGTACAAAACAATGTTGATTTTAATTTTATATTATATTTTAACTTAGATAAATTGACTGTGTCAATATTTATGGTTATTTTTATTATTTAGATATAAATATTAAGTCTTTAATTTTTTTTAACTTTTTAATCTATGAATTTGATTATTACTGATAATTTTCTTACTATAATTATTTATTTTTTTATTACTAAATTTCATAATTATGAATTATATAGATAAATAAAATGTATTTTTATTTTAATTTTTTAAAAGAAATATATTTCTTTGATATATTATTCACTAGATTTCATATTAAATATTATGTTATTGGTAACACAATATCAAATAGTTCATGAACTTCAAAAACAATAAGATAAGTTACATGAGACTGGTTTTTTATTACTATAACCAAATACAAATATAAAAATATATATATTACATTTTCAATTAACCACATTTTCAGTATATTGATAAAGTTAAAAATAAATTTTTAAATTAATCTCTAAAAAATTGATATTTTAAAGTTTATCTAAATAAATAATTACTACTAATAATATGTATAGCATAATTAAAATAATTTTCTCATAACATATGATATATTTACATGACTTTTTTACACATTTTCTCTTTTTTTTTGTCTTTTTTGCATCCATATTCTTCATTACATATTACAGTAATTAAAAAAAATGTTATATACGTTATAAACTATTTGAATATTTAACATAAATATATGTTATATATTGATACCTTACACGTAAAGAGAGCAATATTATAAATCATTTAATTTGTTACATCACTCATTAAGTGTGTGTGTGTGTGTATAGAGTGAAAGTTTCATTCATCTAAGTTATTCGTACTTTGTTTTCTTAAACGAGTTTTTAGTTTTACTTTACCACATTTTTTAACAAGAAGTCAATTATAGGAGGTGACATCTTTGATGATATCGACTCTGTGTAAAAAATTATTGTTATCGAACTTTCAAAATCATACTTTATCATTCTTTTTTATTTTTTTTTTATCAATGAATCGATTAAACTAATACTATTGGTAGAGATAACATCTGCGAATTGCCTCATTGAGCCACTAATTATAGCAAACGAGGTTGCATGAATCTAATTGTTAGGTTCAGCTTGTTGGACCTATGAGCTATGTGGTCCTTGGATAGAGTATTTGATTCAATCATTGTGACCCTACCACTATTGCCACTTTGAAGCTTCTGTTATTGATTTCATGGTTAAAAAGTCTAAATTTTTTTATTTAAGGTTCAATAATATTAAATATTTTATTTAGATTTTTACTTTGCAGACTAGATAACAAGCTTAAATTTTGAAAAATAAAACTAAAAAAATAATACGTTTTATGAAAAGAAAGAGTAATTAAAATATTAGAACTTCAAATTGGATCAAAAAAGATGAAAAATTAAAACAAAAATGGGGACTAGAGTACTAAAATAAAAATTTTAGTTTAAGCTTGAAACATTATTTATAAGTTAATGATAAAAAAACTAAATTAGATGCAGACTTTAATATTATTATTAATATACGAACGGAAGAATAAAGGATTAGGATGCACGTCGGGGAGAAGAAAGAAATAAGAAAGTCACGTGTTTTGACATGTATATGGACACATTGTTTGCCATATGAACATATCTCTAGTGGTGCTACATACTTTGTTAATAGTAAGAGCATATACGATATAAATTTAAGAATATATGTTATATTTCAACGGAAAAATAGTATAATGATAAAATTGAACAATTTTAAATAGTACACATGTTTTTGAATTTTGTCTTTATTTTAATTAGTGAGAGAAAAATAACTTAGATTGTGCCTAATTATATTGAATAATTAAGGTCCAAAAAAATAAATATTAATTAAATAGCAATAGTAAGAGCATATTCGACCTAAATTTAAGAATATATATTATATTTCAACGGAAAAATAGCATAATGATCGATTTGAATAATTTTAAATAGTACACTTATTTTTGAATTTTGTCTTTATTTTAATTGGTGAGAGAAAAATAATTTAGATTGTGCCTAATTATATTGAATAATTAAGGTCCAAAAAAATAAATATTAATTAAATAATTTTGCAATGTAACGGAACAACTATTTATGAGATTAATTCACTACACTTTGGCCTCCTTATATGGACAATTAATTAAAATTAAAATTAATATAAGACTACAAATATTAACTTTAATCTTAAATAGTTAGTTTTGAAGTGACAACTAAAATACTTTTTACTAGACTATTAAGTAATATTTTGATTTAATACAAATAATACTATTTAAAAATTTGATAATAATTAATTCAATATATATCGGATAATAATTAGACATGGAATAGAATAATTAATAGAAAAAAATAAAAAAAAAATAAAAT